GAGTGATTCCTGTAGTCCTCCACTTCTAGTGTATAACTATTCCAATGATACCTCTATTGAAGCTCTCTCAGAAGAAGCTGACAATGGGCAATTTCCCCTTAGCCCCATGAAATTCCCCAGAGGAGACTGAATATGTTTATTTTCTAGAAAACAGTGAGTGCTGTCCTAGAATCAGTTCCGGCTTGCGTCTAATGTAACTTGGCTGTTTGGAGGTGTTGATTGTAGCTGTGCTGGTCTACGGATATAGGCAGACAAGGTTCTTTGGGTAGATGCAGTATCTTTTACTCGATCAAGTAACTAGTTGGAAAAATTGTTCTTTGTGAGCTTTCAGGCACAAAGACCCTTCTTCAGGCAGAGGGAGAGTCTCTCATTCAGTTAGTCTATAAGGTCTCTCTCTCTGCCTGGAGAATGGTGTGTGTACCCGAAAGCTTGCAAAGAACCAATTTTTCCAACTATTTAGTTGGTCTAGTAAAAAATAGCACATTTACTGAACAAACCTTGTTTGCCTGTTAGGTGAAATTTGTTGTCACTTTGTGCTGTTCTAATGCAGCCTTGTGCCTGTTTGTTTTTAACACCGCATCTGTTTGCATTGGTGTTAAAGAAGTCGTAGTGAGTCCCAGTCCCAGGAATCTAACAATGCACTCAGAGATCAGTTCCAAGAAAGATATACTTCACTCTCAGAAACTGAATAGAAACTTTAGACAGGTTTTGATGGAACTGAGTGCGTATTGTAGGCACAGAGACATGATGCTTCCCATTGGCTTACAAAGATGTAATGGTTGGAACACCTTTAACCTCGTCCTTGGGCTACTGGTACGCATGCTGTGATTGTGTCATAGCCATAGACAAACTGTAGCCAAGGGATTCAAAAGTAGTAATCCTCAAGCTGGTTGTCCAGAATAAGTGGCCTAACTTCTTTCTTTACACCTGCTAAGTCACTAGCAAACCCCACCTGGAGCAACCCTTCAAGTTATAAACGCAAACTGTTGTTCATGGAAGAATTTGAGTTGATCTCTGCCTCGGGGGTTGGACTAGGTGACCTCTGGAGATCCCTTCCAGCTTTATGACTCTATGACACGCTTGGTCTTGATATAGATATTTTGATATCCTGAATAAACTAGTATGATATAATGAACCACACAAGCTGAGAGATGCGGATACATGGTTATCCATGTAAAAAGGCTTAACCCTCCCCATAGATCATCTTCTCTCATAAAGTTTGGTGTTGGCTTTTGTCCTGTCCTACCATGGTGACTGCTGATTTAGATTTCAATTTTTTCATGTCGTTCTTCCCTAGAACTAGTGAGATTAGGTGGTTTTAGCAATACTGCAGTCTATTCCCCTCTCATTTTTACATTTTTTTTTTAGAAAAATGATCATTTTACTTGTAAAAGTAAAAAAACCCAAAAAACTTAAAGAGCAGAGTCTATCAAAATCTTTTTATTTTCAAAAGCTCTGAGGTACGTAAGTACCATTTTTCAGACATTGGCACTTAAGGTAAATTTTTCATAAAAGTGCCTATATAATTTAAAAGTAACAGTCCCTGTAAGAAGGTTGCAGCAAGTGAGGTCTCATGCATCTTTTTAAACTCTGCTGCCCTTATTTCTGCGTTTTTTCTGAAGACCTGCTTACAAATGAGAGAGTGCAGCTGTACCCGATTCCATGGCAGGTCTGGAGACACAGACTTTGTTTCACCATGTAAAATTATTCACAAGAATTATTATTAATTCCTCTGAAATTCTCAAGAAATGTTGGTGCCAGGGCCTATTTTAATGTAAGTATGAGCACTAGTGGAACAGTTTTGGAACAAGAGAGGTCTAAGTTCCTGTCAACTAAGTATATATGCAGTCCAATATTTCTATGTCGTATTTCCAGCTATGGTTTCTATATGACTGGTTTGTTTCAGTGATTTAGGCCTACAGCTCACATACTGAATACCAGCCATGTTCTTCAGACAGGTATCTAGAGAACTGCCATCTCTGAGGAGAAAATAAATTGCTCCCTCTTCTTCTGATTTTTTGGAATGGGCTGGGGGACTCTCCAAAGTAATTTCAAAAGCATGTTTTGGGGTGGTGAGGGGGTGGTCACAGTTGATGGAAAAGACTCTGTGGGTTTAACCAAAGAAGCTTCACAAGGCAAGGAAGCTGGAAGATGAAGGTCTCTTAATCTCCCTGGTGGAGACTGGACATCTCAAGATCTCTGAGAAGAAAAGAGATGCTGCTAATAGTCAAGCTACAGTCAGATCAGTGTACACAAAAAGCCTGATGGCAACATTTTCAAAGCACTTCAGTATCATTTTATTAAGAGTCTAAGGGTATATCTATACCATGTCAAAGCAAGGATACATACTCCCAAGTATACTTTGTTCACCCATTTTTGCTTGATTGGTGTGGGAAGCAACAGTTCAGAGAGTGGGAAGATGTCTCCAAAGTAGCTTAGCCATCATGTTCCCATGTTTGGAACAGGAGGGCATTCAGCATCCCAAAGACATTTTGCTCATTTCTGAAAATATACATTTAAGTGCTTAGATGGGAGCCTACAAAAGTAATATGAAGTACTTGCTTTTATTAACAGGTACAAAGATGAAGTGTGATACTACAGTGAATCAATATAAGATGAGTTCACTAGAAGCATTAGACCTGAGAATTTATAATCTTGGGATGTGTAATGTGGTGTGTCTAATACAAGACCAAAGAAACTGTTTTGTTTTATCCTTATGAAAGTTAGGAGGAGGCCTCGTCCATCTTACAGCTTCCAGTTCCAAAGGGGCTAATCTTAAATTCTGCCTTTGCCTAGGAACTGCCCTGAAAGCTTCAATTGTTAATGTTGGTGTCCCTTTCTAAAAACCATTTTGAAATGCTGCTAATGTGGAGTGTGGCTCTTTCATCCCAGAAACATCTGCTTTCCACCAATAGGAAAATGATGTCCATATACAGGGGTTATAAAACCCTATGGGAATCCTCCAGCTGAAAGCCAGCGCTATAGAACATAAATAAAAGATCATAATTTTTTTTAACACCTACAACAGTCTGCACAGAGTTGGTCTGGTCAATTTGATTTAGCTGAAGGATGTTCCTTAAAAGGAAAAGGCATGATGCAGGAACAGAAGATCTAAATTATTGAGAAGCTGAGGAAACTAGGTCTTAGTTCCGTCTTTTTGCAAAGCATTTGAAAGGGACTAAGACCAGTGATTCTCAACTAGGGTGCCACAGCACCCCGCAGTGTCTTGAGATCCTTTGAAAAGTGCCATGGGGTGCCATGAAACATTAGCACTGTTAGGTGTGCAACTCAGAGATTTCAAATGGGGATTCATAGTATTAAAACATTCTGATCTGTAATGAACTTTCTGAGTTCTTTGCAGCAAAAGAATTGCTCTTTCACATTTCTCTAGGCAAAAAACAAGTGAAAGCCAAGATCTGGCATTTTGAGGAGTGCCCTGAATCCAATGACAGGGTGCATCAAGTTGAAAACGTTTGAGAACCACTGGACTAGACAAAGGTCTGCATGCAAGTTAGAGGTGGAGTGTTGAAGAGGTGTATTATACAGAATGGCCAGTGCACATGACAAATGCAAGTGGAGCAATGGGGATAAATACTGCAGTAGAAATGGGCAAAGGCAAGGGTGAACAAGTGGAGCTGAGGTGCGATGGATTCCTGAACCATGCCGTCAACTGGAGAATGGCTGAGATCAGCCAAGGGAAGGAACTGCATAGCACATTTGACTGCTGTTCCAAAAAGGAACCAGGCACAAAATAGCAGCCATGGGTTATAAAGGTCAGCCTTGCTTCACCTTCCAGTATGATAGTGTGGCGTCTGTGAAAGCGGAGAGGCAGCAAGCATATTAACCATTCCCTGGCCTAACGTTCAGAGGATCTTTGGACTGAAATCCTGTCCATCTCAGACCGGAGAGGACCAGTTCTCTCCAACCTCCAGCACAGCAGACAGTGGGATATAGCCCATTGTTTCCATAATTGCTCTTGAAAACTTGCAAAGGAAACTCTTGTTGTCATGCAACTGTTCAAACCAGGATGGGCCTTATGAACCTTTCCTGTGGTTGAAACAGTTCTGTTCCCAAAGCTGAAAGAATGGCGCTGCACTCTTTTAAATTCGGTCAGCCTAGACATCCCGATGCCAATGCACATTGGAAAGAGAAGACCTTGTTCAGGGCTGAACAAATGTGTAATGCTCCTGCACTTCAGTGGGAGATCTGGAACCTTTTGTTGCACAAACGGCTAGTTTTGTGTCCCTGGAGGCTTTTCCAATATACCTCAAGAGAGAGTCATACACATTCAGGCTGGATCCATCTCATGTTTATTGTTTGCAAACAAGTTCGACTAGGGGGCTAGTAGCCCAAAGCAGAGTCAACGCCCGGTCTTTGTCCGAGGGTCTTTTTATAGCTTATCTAAACAAAGAACCATAGCGTGTTAAGCAGTTATTGGCAGTTTCACAATTTTACCGTTATGTCTAAGTTTCCACAGGATGTCAGGGCCTTTCAAGTTAGACTCAACTTATTATGGGATAGAGGATGGCACATGCGTGTTGGGGAAGCTGTGGTAAACTCAGTGTCCTTTAGTAACCCCTTATCTTCGTGTAACTCTAGGTCATTGAACAGGTGCGATTGTGAAACTCTATGTGCAAAGCTGCCTTTAACCTATATGCAGAAGCTATTGACAAGCCATGTTGTATACAGAAGCATATTGCAAAAATAAAGTATCATGTCTAAATTGAGGCCTTATGTCTAAAATCTAACGTATTTGTACTACACTTTCCACATACGGCGGAATTCATGCTAGTAAACAGGCAAGGCCATTTGAGGTAAGTGTAATCCTCTGTCCTGTGCAGAGGAGCTAGTATCATCAATTTATGGAGAGAGATGTCCTTGTAAGCTATGCTAGCACACTGGGTAAAACCCTAGGTGCACTCGCATGTAGCCTGTGTATTGTGTATTCAGCAGAAGAAGTGCTTGTTAATTTGTACCCTTCTCTCCCTGTTTCTATCTAGCTGGCTGGTGGTATCATTCTCGGCGTGGCCCTGTGGCTTCGTCATGATTCACAGACCACAAATATTCTGTACCTGCAGCTGGGTGACAAGCAGGCCCCCAACACATTCTACGTGGGTAAGTAGAACCCATGGAGGTCATGGGGCTGGTGTTTCTTTCCACTTGTACAAAGTGCATGGCTTCAGTGTCTTTTGGGACATCCCAAAAATGCAAACAGAAAAAATACTGCAAAGCTACATGAAGTGTACTTGGCAATATGGGGGAATGTTTGTTCATCAGAGCGCCCCAAGGGATGACAAGGTGGAACGGTCACAAACTCCTCCATGACCATTTCAGGCTGGACATAAGGGAGAACTTCTTTGCTGTCCGAGCCCCCAAGGTTTGGAATAGACTGCCGCCAGAGGTGGTTCAAGCACCTACTTTGAATGCCTTCAAGAGACATTTGGATGTTTACCTTGCTGGGATCCTATGATCCCTGCTGACTTCCTGCCCCTGGGGGAGGGAACTGGACTTGATGATCCTTCGGGGTCTCTTCTGGCCCTAGTGTCTATGAATCTGTGACTATACAGAAATAACATATAGTTTAAAATATGCCATGCACATGTAAATCCTATTTGATTAAATGTAACATCTGTTTTGCCTGAGTCCCTTATCCTGCCAAAATAAAATGCACCTGAAATTGTTTTCCCTCCTTCCTCCTCCCCTTCTTTTTTCTTCTTTTACCCGTGTATGCAATAGCTGGATTATTTTTAATTTCTCCTATGCCATTCTGAATAACATGCCCCTTTTTAAAACATTTTAGCTTCAGCAGGGGGTTGCATGATGGGATTGGGCCTTAGAGAAAGGGTTGCTGCTTATAGTTACATTTGGGGATTTTTGTCTCTTCTAAAAAAGACACTGAGTAGCTGATTGGTTAGCAGTGGAAAATAAATTGAAAAGAACAGCATGACTCATGTTCTCCAGGTGTGTGTGTAGGGGGGAGGGAGGGAGGGGAGAAATGGGGGTGTTCTTAAGTTTTAATGTGATTTCATTAATCTGTCAGTATGCTGACTTGCTGGGAAAGTAAGGATACCCTTATTTGGCTGTGTTCATCTGTACATGACCAGCAGCCAAAGACTTAAAGAACTAGCATGAACAAAATGTCTGCTTGCAACGTCCCCATCTCTTGTGAGGTCTGGCCTCCTCCTCTCCCTTCACTGTTTGTCTAAAACCAGCTGTCTGGTAGAGAGAAGGCTGAGGATGCTGTGCAAAAGGGGAGGGATACCGACTGTGAGGGTCTGGCTGGGGCCAGAGTATTCCTGCAGAGAGGGGCAAGGGAGTCTGTCATGGATGGGAGGGAGGCGTGTGTAGCAAAAATATTAAAAAGACTTTTTTCTGCTACTGTCCAAACAAAACGTGCATGGATTCTCCTCAAGTTTACTCCATTTGAACTGTGACTTTACAGGGGATTCTCCCCAACATACTGGTGTAAGGGGAGATTCAGAACGATAACTACATCCCCTCCTTCCCTGAAATAACTCAGTGTGCAAAAGAGGTCTTCATCCACATGCAAAATATCTGTACCCAGTAGAAAAGGGCATAGGGCAGCCTCCTTTCAAACATGACATGAGGGGAAATGTGATGTCATTCTCATGAACTAGTGCATACGTGTGGAGCCATGGGGTTTAGCAGTATTGAGACCGACCCCCTCTTGCTTTAAGGCTGCCAGCTGTGCATAGCGTTTCATCTCTGACCTCCCTTTTTTAAATGCCCTATAGCCTACTTAGGACAATTCTAAGGACATGGTAGGCCACTGACCAATAATGAATCTCTGGTATTGGGGATTATGCCTAACCATGGGATGGGAAGAAACACAAGAACCTTGTGTCTCCCTGCTGCCTCTCGAGATGCACTTTGGCAGACTACCAAGTTTTCCATTAATTTTAAGGAAAATAAAAAGAAACAACTCAAGTGGAACATTGGTGAAATTCCTGAAACACTGTCACACCATACTCATCCCTGTCCCATAAATACCAACATTTACCACTGTAGCACAGCCAGCTGGGTACCTAGACAGTTGAACCATGGCAGTTCAAATGGGCTGCTTCAGTAACAGCTGTTCCAGCTCATGTTCATCCATGTACCTGGATCTGTTTATGCTTTCTATGGGCCATGTTGAGTGCTGAGCTCTTGAAAACTTGGTATTTGGATTGAGTCTGAGCTCCTTTGGCAATCTGGCCTCCAGTTTGTGAGACTGCTTAGCTGTGTTTATTGTAAGTGTATACAACAATAAATAGCTTGAATATATCTGAATCATTTATCTCCTACTGCAAGTTGGGAGAATGTACACATGTAAAACTTGATGTACAACACTAGACCAGTAAGCCGTGTAGTCTGCAATCTTGTTTCCAGTGGTAATCAATACTTACTTAAGAGGAAGGTGCCATTCTTAAATTCTCCTGCCTCACCAAATTAACCCATCTAGTCAAGGCATGGGCAGACGTGCATGTGACATGCTCCAGATTGTGCTCCAATCTGGAGCACTTCAAATTCAGTGCTTAAGCACCATGCAGCTATGCATGCCATCCCACCCAGACCCTTAAAACAGCTGCAAAGGCATGCAGTGGTATTGCCCTCCAGAAAGGCAGTCGGTGAAAAGGAATTCTTGCATGCGTCTCTGTCACCAGAGGTCCTTGAGGATAAGAGAGCATGCACTGGCTGTCTCCCTGTCCTTCTCCCCACCCACCCATCCCCATGGAACCACTGTGGGAAGATCAGGATCTGTTATGCTCTGGTGGAGTGTGCAGGCATTTGATGAAACATCTAAAAGATACTCCTCTTATTTACTCAATTAGAAAACAATCACCCCCAACCCCGTTTAATGGGGGGAGGAGCCCCTCTCCTTACAATCGAGCATGAGGCCACAGGAGGGTGGGCAGCTGCCTTGGCTCCAGCTCTGGCCTCAACCCAGGGT